ATAGTATAGTATAGTATAGTATAGTATAGTATAGTATAGTATAGTATGGTATAGTATAGTATAGTATAACATACTTATAGTAAGAAGGGAATTAGAACAGAGCAAATCTTATCTTTGGTTCAGCATGATTATGTACACAGTAATGAAGTTACCTACTTGGGCAGTTCTAAATTTGGGTACCCTGAGTAGAACTTAATCCATTCTGTAGGGTTACTGGCTAGACTGCCATACCTGCTCTTTGGAGCTCTTTCTGGAGCTATAAGCGATCTCTAGGTCATCTAGTCCGACCTTCTCATTTTACATATGAGGAAACAGAGGCTCAGAGAGTCTCAAGAGCCTAAATGACTTGCCCAAAGTCACACAGGCAGTAAATGGAAGAGCCAGGATTCAAACTCAGATCTAGCAACACTAAGTTCAGGCGTCCAACCTGAATGCTCTTTCCATTGCACCATAATTCACTTAGGAGGATTCTGATAAATTCTGAGCTCCCTAGCTGACTTCCCCCTACCTCCAGGCCTTAGCTTTTAGCATTCCCATTAGCAGCCTGTGGAAAGAGCATCTCCTGCCCTTTCCCCCCAGTGCTCTCTAACCCACCAGCTCAGGGTAGGTAGAGAAGAGTGAGAGGGGAAGTCAAAGAATACTGGGACTGCATTGAATTTAGTGTGGCCTTCCCTTTTTCCCCAAGGCAAATTTTTTGCTCAGAGATTGGATTGGGCACATCCTACCACCACCCCCTGCCTGATTTTCACACCCTCATAGAGCCTGAAGAATGAAAGCATATGGTCAACACAAGCATCTTAATGAAGCATTAAAAATTAAAAAAAAATCACACAGATATCACAGTGCATGCACATTATTCTAATCTAGGGGGACTATACCACCTCCCCTCCTCTTGGACCATCAATTCTAGGCTGGTCTTGGGCAAGAGCCAAGAGGAGGGCAGCTAGGTCAATGGCCTGTTGCTGCCTGCTGATGAGACCAGAGGGCCTGGGGAATGGGTTGACCCAAATTCCCCTCGAGCATCAGCGTGGAGGGTGGCTTCTTTTTGACCCCAGAGTGGGGCTATGATGTGACAAGTGAGTGGGGCCAGTCTAATGACTGGAGGGGTGGACAAATCACCAATCCATCCCTTAGGGGGAGTGGTCTTGGCTTAGAAGCAAGCATGGCCATCCCGAAGGAGGCACTGGGCTGGGCAGAAGCTGCTACCAGCCATCACCCCCGGAGGAGTTCAGTCTCTAAGGTTTTCAATCTGGCACCACATTGGGGTGCTCAGAGAATGAGCTGGGAGAGGTCATAGCCTCTTTTCTTCCAGCAAGGATGGCAGGTGGGTGGGGAGGGAAGGGGATCAAGAATCACAGTGAGATCTTGATGCTGTCCTGGTGGAGGCTTGAGGCAAGATGGCAGCGTACCAGCTGCCACCGTGCCCACCCCATGCACATTCTCCCAGCCCAGCTAAAGGGGAAGGGGAGGGCCGTGACATCACAAGGTAGGGTCAGGGGAGGAAAAAAGAGGGAAAAGGGTTTTGGAGTGGGGAAGAGAAGGGATGGAGGAAACGGGGCTTGGAGCCTGCCTGACTTCTATGACTAAAAGAGGGAAACTGACACCTTGAACGCGAAGCATCTTTACCTATGTATCCTCCGCCTCCTCCACCTGAGGAGCACCCCCCTCCACCCCCTCCGAAACCCCCTCTTGTCTCCCACCCCCACTTCTTCATGGCCTGGGGGCAGGAATGTCCTCCTGTAGCACCTTCCAGCAAAGATTTTCCCGACCAAAGCAAGGAAGTGTTATCATTCCAGCCACCTCCACCACCTGCAGAGGAGAAAAGGAGAAAACAACCCCAGGGTGAGGAGAGCCCAGGAAGTGAAATTGGTGGAAAAAGCTGGAGTCCATGGAGTCTGGGAGTGGACAAAGAGGTGGACTTGAAACCGGGAATCCAGTCCCTCTTCAAATACTTCCTTGCTCTATGACTCTGGGCAAGTCACTTAAACCACTGCCTACCTTACTTTCCTCATCTGTAAAATGAGGATGCTAATAGCATCTCCCTCCCAGGGTTGTTATGAAGCTCAAATGAGATGATATAGAGCAGCCAGGCCTGGAGTCAGGAAGACTCATCTTCCTGAGTTCAAACCTGGCCTCAGAACCTCACTAGCTGTGTGACCCTGGGCAAGTCACTTAACCCCATTTGCCTCAGTTTCCTTATCTGTAAAATGAGCTGGAGAAGGAAATGGCAAACCACTTCAGTATCTCTGCCAAGAAAACCCCAAATGGGGTCAGGATGAATCAGATACAACTGAAATGACTGAACAACAACAACCCATGGAAAACTTAGCAAACCTTAAAAGTGCTATTAGAATTTGAGTGGCTTGGCCTCATATTCCCTTCCCCAGGGCATCTGCAGTGGAACTGGTGGCCTCCAGTTTCCCCAGATAGAGATGGAATGAGGTGATGTTTGTTGGGTTGGTCTGTTTCTGCTCTGCCTGGATCAACCCCTTCCCCTCTAGCCTAAGAGGCAGCTGTCCCCTGAGTATATGTGGAAGTAGGCTGATGTGTAGATGAGCATGGATCTGTGATTTGGGAGCTTTGGAGTTGACTAAGTTTATTTCATTCTCATCCGCCTGTCCCTATCAACTCCCAAATCTTGGCTCTTTAATTCCACTCCTCCCATCCCCACCCCTACCTCCATCCCAAGAGGCACTGGCATGACTTAGTCTTCAAGGAGAGTAAAGGTCAAAGTGCCAGCTTGCACTGAGCACTAACAATCCAGCTATGTGACCTTGAGCCAGTCTTTTCCTTTCTCTAGGACTCAGTTGCTTCATTTGTAAATGAGGAGGTAGGGGAGAATCAAACGACATAATGCCTGAAGTCCCTTCCAGCTTCAACAATCTTTGAATCTAAAAATCTACAATCCTGACCTGCCTGTCCCAAGTTGAGGCTGGTTTCCTGTTAAGGTCTCGCATATGAGTGGATGGGAGGGAGATGTGAAGACACAGCTTCGACAGAAAGCTGTGTTCTACTGATACCTCGAGCCTCTGGGGTCAGTAGTTTCTGGGGTTACCAGGAATATGACCTAAGCAAGTGATTTGGGAACTCACAGAAGAGGAAACTCCATTAACCAATGAAGGTTGGCACCTTCTCTGTAATTTATAGTCTTAGTGACCTGGAGACACTGAGACATTAAATGACTTGACCTGAATGTAGGCATGGCTAGTTATGAGGCCAGGTCTCTTTCTGCTTTGCCTCTTTAGGGTACAGATAATTGCAAAATCCCATGAGTGCCTTTGAATGTGTTTCTTAAATAGAAGCAACTATTACTGACTCTAAGGCATCTTAAGCTTTTTCTGTCAATATAGTCGATCTTTCCTGCTAAGGCTGGGACTAGCCACTGTTTCTCATGGCATTTTCTTTCTTTTTTTAAAATTTATTTTATTCTGAACTTAAGAAATAAAATAAACATTTCCATAACATTGTAGACTAGGAAAAAAGATGATTGTACATGAAACTGCAAATCTATTTTATTTATATTTATTAATTAATATATTTATTATTTATAATATAATAAATATAACACAATATATTCATTAATATTTATTTATTTATAACTGCTATTCCTTTTAAACATATAATAAAGTTACCATGTAACTTTTTCTTTTTTCTTTTTTTTTCCTTTCATGGCATTTTCAACAGATTTCTCATCACCCCGTCCCCCAACCCCAAGCCTTCCCAATGAATGTAAGGACACAACCCCTGCTCTTGTGGATGGCAGGGTGAGGACAGGAGCCTCATAGGAGAACAGGAGCTCATGAGTCAAGTCTCTGAAGGAGTGATGGGCCAGTGAGCCAGTGAGTATTTACTGCGGGCCGTGGGACAGCAGCAGCTTGGCAAAACAGAATCAGGAGTGGGTTCCTGTAGCTCACCTATGTCTGGCCTCACCTGCCAAGGCCTGCTCAGTGCCTGAACCCAGGTCTTCCCTCCTTGCCTCTGTCTGCATTGGAGCAAGCTCTATGTCTCTTCCTAGCCGTAAGTCTACCAAGGGTCAATACCAGTGACTGGTGCCAGGAAAAAGCAATGAATTGGGGGCAGGGAGGGTTCAGAAGACCTGGGTGTGAATCCTGGTTCTGCCCTTTGCTACCTATGTAATCTTGGGCAAGTTACCTAATCCTTCTGGCCCTCAGCTTCCTCTTTATTGGATTAGGTGGGGTCTCATCCCACTCTAAAGTGATCATCCTGGTAACTTTCTCAAGCTCCTTATGCTGTCTTTGTGCATTTCTGATCTGAAAGAAAGCCAATTTGCCAGGTTCTTTTTGTTTTCATGAATTAATCTAATACCTGAATGAAATGTTACCTAAACACTCTCTCCCAGACTGAGCATTGAGATTTTTTAAAAAAAGCAATAGAAAATAAATGTCCCAAGATCTTTTTTTTCCTCCTTCCTATAACTGCTGACTCCAGAGGAAAGTGTTCAGTAGAAATCAGCCCAGGCTTCTTGTTTGACTTCTGTGGCTCTGGGTCAGAGAGATCAGCTTTCTGGTTGATGGGGATTGGGTGATAGAGGTCAGGGAGACAGAGATAGCAGGACAGAGTGGGCAGAAGGCCTTGCTCTCCTGTATACTCTCCATTCTCTGCCACAGGCCTCCATTTCTCCTAAGGACGAGAAGACACAGGATTTTGAAGGAGCTTCTCATTCTTCTTTTTGCATCCAAAGGAAGAATGAGAAGCGCCTTCAAAATCCTGTGTCCCTGGAGGTGGAGATCTAAGGAAAATATTAGTTCAGGGTGACTTTTTGTCACTCTGAATCAGAGAGTATAGATTTGATTTCCAATTTCCTTGAAGATTTTCTGTGACTCAGAACAAGTCAAAATGCAACTATGCCACGTGGGGAATAATAAAGTGGCTTGAAATAGCAGGAATTCCATTATTTGGATTTGTATGTGCAGATAGCATGGCATAGTGGTAAGAACATGGGACTGGAAGACAGAAGACCTAAACTCAAATACCAACTCTGCCTTTTATCAGCTGCATGACACTGGGCAAATCATTTCCTCTCTTGGGACTTTAGTTTTCTCATGTGCAAAATCTGGAGAGCAGCACTTGGCCTAAGTATCTCACAGTGGTGGTGTGTTTTGGGGAGGGTTTTGCTGGGTGTCTCTGATCTTCTGTGTTGTTTGTGTCCTTGGGGAAATTCTGTGCATTAGACTATGCTGCCTGATGTCTTGGCAAAGATAATACGGGAAGATCAGGCAATTATAGTTCTGTGTCACAGTCAGAAAAAGCTCAGGTCTTGATATTTTTTTGAATATGCTTATGTCTGAGATGGCAGGACCCCGGCAGTCAGACATCATGGGAACCTTACAAGGGCTCTCCAAATCTTAAAATATATTTTCAATATAAGTTATTATTATTATGACCATAACATGATAATTATTATGATCATAACATAATTATAATCATGCTATAAGAAATAGTGTCTAGGGGTTCTGGCACCTCAAATACAAGTAAGAAAGCATTCTACAAGCTTGGCCAGGATGTTACTTGTTTGCCGCAGTAAGTTATACTCCCAACCCTACCCGTGTCCCCTCACCAGCACTCTCAGCCCTGCCCCAAGCTCAAAGAGAGGTTCCAGTTCCCTTACTGGCTCCAGAGGACCAGCTTAGCCCCTAGACATCTGAGCCTGGCTGTGTTTCGTGGGCGGTGGTGTGTGAGCACATTACCTGCGGCTCCAGAAATGCCATTCAGACCTAGAACAGAGGAGTTATTTTCCAGTCTTTCTGGATGGAATGTATCTGTTTTGGCCCCATAGGCTCTTCCACCACCTCCGGCTGCAATGATCAGAGGCACTGGTATTCCATTCTTCATCTGACAAAGGAAAAATTCAAAAATGAGGCGGGCATCCTTTTTTGGCCTGGGCCGGACCCTAACTTAGCTTCTTGTCTTCACATTTACGAGCTGCTTGGAAGGCAGTAAGCTCACCCTTTGATGGCTCCAGACTCATGCTACATCAGCTGTGCTCTGCCATCTGTTAACCCACAATACTACTTGGAAGAAGAGCCCATAGCATCCTGTTTGCCTCAGAAATGGATGGGGGGTGGGAGTGTGAGGGGGGAAGCGGAGATGAGACATTTGGGTGGCCTAGGCAAAGTCTGAAAATTACAACCCTTGGACTGCCTGTAACTATCTATCATAGGCTGTGATTTCTCACTGTAACAGCTAAAACTTATCACAAAAAATACCTACACACGATAGAAAAGGAGATCTCTTAGCATCGAAAGTATTGAAACATATAAAGTGTCCCTCATTGCTTTTGACTGTGTGAAATGGCCCAGATGGTTGTCTACCTTGTCTACCCCTAGTTCTTCCCAGGAATGGCAAGATTGGTACATTCCTACCCCAGCACTTGGCACAGTGCCTAGTATACAGCAGGCACTTAATAAATACTCACTGATTGATGGAATGATTCACGTAGGAAGGGTAAGGCCTTATTAGTAGAAGACAAGTTTCCCAAATTCAGATTGATTTCTTCTGTTGACATTCTCTCTCTCTCTCTCCCTCTCTCCCCCCAATTGCAATTCAGAGATATAACCAACAATTTTTTCCCCTGGGGTAAAAGTTGAGGAAGTCTTATCTAGAGCTACAGGCTAATAAAGGAAGGAAGTATTCCTAGGACACCAAGAAGTTTCTGGGCTGCTGAAGGGGTAGTGGGCATGGCCCAAAGTTGAGACTACTGCCACAAGGAGCTGGATGGGCTGGGAGGAAGCATTCTCAGTAGGGTGTTGTTGTGCCTTCAATATTTCCCTGACCTTGAACAAAGACCCATGGTCCCACCCTGTTTCTGGCTCTGGCTCTGGTGAATGTGATCAGAATCTATTGTCTCTGCTTTCATTTTCTTGTCCTGTCAGATGGTTTAGGCTTGGTCAAGTCCAAGGATAAAAGGATAGTCTAAGTCACAATTAAGGCCCCTTAGCATCCCACTTTTTATTTCAACTTTTTGTTTTGTGGAGGGGATTATGGTGGTCAAGTGTGGCTGGAATATGGCCAGTTGAGTAGGGAAAGAGAGAAGTTCAATACTGGGAATTATCCAATTACTGAGAAGTTCAAGAATGAGTCTGTTCTACATGAATTGATCCAGAGAAGAGAGGGGAGCATTGTACCCAAAGCTATGGAAAGTCTAAATACCTTTTCCTGCTGTAGTGTGAACATTCATGTCACCTGAAAACAGGATGCTAGGGAGTAGAGTGGAGAGAATTCTGGACCTTGAGTCAGGAAGACCTGGGTTCAGTTCCCACCCCTGACACTTGCTGGATCTGTGACTATGGATAAATCACTTAAACCTCTCTGAGTTTTAAAATTATGTTAAATAGGGATAATAATACCTGTAGTATCTAGTTTAAAGGGTTGTTTGTGAGGTTCAAATGAAACAATCTGTGTAAAATGCTTTGCAAACTTGAAAGCCCCATGTAAATATCTATTAAGATTAGAGTTGGAAGACATTACTCCAGAGGCAGCAAAGCCTGGTGAATAAATGAGTGGTTTTTGGAGTTGGGAGGATTATATTATAACTAAATGGTTGTCACTGAGGATGTCATTGGATGAGCCAGTTGTGAAATGTGATTAATGATGTCTGACCTACTTACCTCTCAGGGTTATGGAGAAGAACCAGTGAGAGAAATTTGGTGAAAACCCTTTTAAGTCCTATATAAAGCATGGTATAAACTTAAGTTGCCTGTATTACACCTTGGGGAGAATCCAAAAAAAGGCCCAGAGTTATGCAGCATGGCCTACAGCCTGAAAGAAAGGAGGGGGACTTACCTTAAAAATGTAGGTCGCTCCACCCCCACCTCCTCCACCTCCAGCCCACTCATTCACACTTTGGTTGGCTCGGATCTCTTCTTCTATCACATTGTTCTCTCCAACGCAAACCTTCTGGATAATTTCATTAGTCTGTAGACAGAATGAATAAATAAGGTTACGATTTCAATCAGGGTGTCTCTAGAGCTTAGACACTGTCAGTTCTGAGATTTGGGACTGAGCTAGGAGTTAGGATCCCTGACTGGATTCTTCTCTGGGAAGTAAATTTGCTTTGCCAGCCCTCATTTTACCCCTTTTTGTTGCCATTACTTGCCACCAGACATCATCTGGAAAGTTATTAAAAGTCAGTATGTCAAAGAAGACTTTCTAGTCCAGAAAACCTGATGGAAGAGGGATTAGAATTATTTTTATAGCCTTAGAGGGAAGACCTAATACTACGGGGTAGAAAATATAAGGAGGCAGATTTGAAAAGAAATTTCTAATAATTAGAGCTATCCAAAATGGAATGGTAATGAATTCTCCATAACCAGAGGCATATCAGCAGAGCCTTTTTTTTTTTTAACCATAGAATGTTAGGGCTAGAAGAAATCTTAGTGATCACTGTGGCTGGTCCTTCATTTTGCACGTGAGGAAATGGAGGTCCAGAGTTAAAATGACTTGACCAAAGTCAGGAAGCTAGTAAATGGCAGGACCTAGGTTTGAATGGAGGTCTTCTAACTCAAGTCACTAAGCACTCATTAAATGCCTACTATATGCCCGACACTGCTAAATATTAAGAAAACAAAGAAAGTAAATAATAAATTAACAAAATCAAAAACAAAAAAAAGTCCCTGATCTCAAGGTACTCATAGTCTAATGGGGGAGACAAAATGCAAACCATCATATACAATTAAGATTATATGCAGATTAAATTGAAGATAATCTCTTGTTGGACAGGTAGGTGGCACAGTGGATAGAGTGCTGGGCCTGGAGTCAGGAAGATTCATCTTTGTGAGTTCAAATCTGGCCTCAGACACTAGCTGTGTGACCTTGAGCAAGACACTTAAACCTGTTTTCCTCAGTTTCCTTATCTGTAAAATGATCTGGAGAAGGAAATGGCAAACCACTTTAGTATCTCTGCCAAGAAAACCCCAAATGGGGTCATGAATAGATGGACACGATTGAGAAATGAACAACAAAAATTCTCAATGGGAAGACTGGGAAGGAGGACTGGGAAAGTCTTCTTGCAGAAGGTGGGATGTTAGCCAAGAAGCCAGGGAAGCTAGCAGGTAGAGATGAGGAAGGAGAGAGTTCCAGACACGGGACACAGCCAGTGAAAATGCCTGGAAGTCTGGAGATGGAGTGTTTTGTGTGAGGGACAGCAAAAAGGCCAGTGTCAGTGGATCAAAGAGTACGTGGGATTAAGTGTCATGTAAGAAGACTAGAGAAGTAGGAGGGGGCCAGTTTACAAAGGGCTTTAAAATCCAAATGGAGGGTTTTATATGTGATCCTAGAGGGAGCAGGGAGTCATTGGGATTTATTGAATAGGGAAGGAAGGAAACAAGCATTTATTAAGTACCTACTACATGCCAGTCACTGTGCTAAGCACTTTGCAAATATTTTCTCATTTGATCCTCACAACAACCCTGGAAGGTAGATGTTATTATTTTCCATATTATACAGTTGAGAAAACTAAGGCAGACAGAGGTTAAGTGACTTGCCCCGGGTCATACAATTAGTAAATGTCTCAGATCTTTCAGACTCTAGATCTAGGGCTTGGGGGTGGGACAATATCATATGGTCAGGTCTATACTTCAGGAATAACAATTTGACAGCTGAGTGGAAGATGAACTAGAGTAGAGAGAGGTGTGAGGCAACGAGACTAACCAGTAGGCTATTGCATTATTTCAATAGACCGGGTATAAAGTTGTGAGGGCCTGGAGCAGGGTGGAGGCAGTGTAGGAGGAAAGAAATGAGAGATGTTACAAGGGTAAAATCAGCAGGATTTAACAACTGATAGGCTATTGGGGCGGGGCAGAGAGTGAGTTGCTGAGGATGACACCTGGGTGACTGGGAGGATGGTGATACTCTTGACACTAATAAGGCAGTGAGGAAGAGGGGTGGGTTTGTGGGAGAAAGATAAGAGTTCAATTTTGCACATGCTGAGTTTACGATGTCTACAGGATATCCAGTCTGAGGTGCCAGAAATGTGAGACTGGAGGTGAGGAGTGAGGTAAGGACTGGACAAATGGCTTGAGGATCATCTGCATGGAGATGGTAATTGAATCAGTGGGTGCAAAGCCAAACGGCATAAAAGGAGAAGAGGGTCCAGGACAGAGCCTTGTAGGACATCCACAGTTAGCAGGTATGACCCGGATAAAGATCCAGCAAAGGAGACATAGGAGGTGAACCAGGTGGTGTCCTGAAAACCCAGAGAGACTAGAGTATCAAGGAGAAGGGAGTAATTGACAGCATCAAAGGCTGCAGAGAAGTCAAGGAGAATGAGGATTGAGAAAAAGACATTGCATTTGACAATTAAATGATTCAAGTTCAATGTTTATTCTGCTAAATTTCCTTCTCTGGGCGGCTTCTTATTGAAGATATTGTGGAAGCTGGATTTAGATGACTTATCAGGTTCCTTCCAACTCAGAGATGCTAGAATTCCTGCTGGAATAATGCTCAATAAGCCTCCTCATGTAGCCGATTATAAAGCACAGGTCTGATTATATCAATCGCCTACCCCAGAGATTTTAATAACTCCTTATTGGCTCTAGAATAAAAAGCAAACCCCTCTGTCTGGGATTAGAACCCTTCACAGTCCAGAAGGATTGTACGTTGTTTCTTTCCAGATAGTTTATACATTGTTTCCCCCTAATTCACACTAATGTTTCATCCAAACTCTCCCATTTGACATGTACATTTCCCACCTCCTTGCCTTTGTACAGGCTGTTTCCCAAGGCTGGAATGCTCTCCCTCCTCACCTCGGCCTCACTGAATCCTTTGCTTCCTTGAAAGCCTAGCTCAAATGCCACCTCCTACAGGAAGCCTTTTCTGTTTTCATTAGTTGTTTGTGCCCTTTCCTTTTCTCCCCTGCCCCTTTGCTCCCCTCCCCCACTAAAATGACTTTGGATTTACTCTCTAATAGTGTATATTCTGTGCTTTCTTATCAGTGCATATGTTGTACCTCCCAGTAGAAGGCAAGCTCCTTGAGGGGAGGACTTCTTCATTTTTGCCTATGCACCACCAGAGCCTATCACAGCACTTGCACATGATAAGTAGGTATTCAATGGATGCTTATTGAATGGACCTTGGTTGGTCCTCTCTATTCCGAACTCTTTGGGCTTGTTAGTGGCATCCAGGACAATCACGGCTCTCTTTTAAGCCAGCATCACTCAGCTCAGACAGCTCCTCTCTCATCAAATTGACGTCAGAATAAAATGCTTTTTTTTCTTTTGTTTAATCGAAAGAAAAAAAAATCTAATAAAACATCAAATTTCCATCTAATGCTGCAGCTGCGATGTACCCAGTAAACAGCCGGGCCATTCATCTTGAGCCGCTACTTCTGCCCGAGCACTTATAGAGGCGCCAGTGCTCAGCACCAGAGGAATATCGAGATGAATGACTGAGCCACAATTTGTTTTATGGTGTTTTCCATTTAATGATGAGAATAATTTGAGCTCTTTTAAACTAGGCGTATCTTGGGTGAAAGGTTTTGAATTGACAATGCTAATATTTTTTCTTTTTATTCATTCGAGCAAGGAAGGACGGGGGTGGGGTGGAGAGAAGAAATGCCATGTTGGGCTACTGATGGGTCCTTCTGGTCCTATAGGACTACGGGTAGCTCACTGTGGCTGGCCCCAAGAGAGGCAGGGCCTCTGGGTTTGAGTACCAATTCTTGGATTCTTCAGATTTTTCATTTTTCACCTAGCTGCACTCCTCTGGGACTTCTCCATCATACCCCTCCATGCTACCTTCCCTAACTGCCTCCCATTTAGAGCTTCCTTTAGTATGTTGTTTTCTTTAATTAGAATGTAAGCTTTTTGAGGACCCAAAGTGACTTTTGCCTTTTTTTGTATCCCCAGTACTTAGCACAGTGCCTGGTATATCATGCCCTTAATAAATATTTATTTATTGACAGACTATGGCCAAGTTGCCAAACCTCTCAGAGACTCAGTTTCCCCATCTGTAAAATGAGGATGAGAATAATGATTATACCATCTACCTCATGGTGTTAATGGGAAGAAAATGCTTGGTAAATCTTAGTTTTATACAAATGTATGATGGCCAAGCTTGGCTCCAAAAATGGAACTATGAAAAGCAACTCTCCCTGCTTCTCTGCAAAGGTGGGGGCCATGGGAGTGGAATGCTGCATATTACGCTGAATTTTTTGGATATGTTATTAGTTTCGCTAAATTGTTTTTTTTTTTTGCTCTCTTTTAAAATTCTTTGTTGTAAGCAATGGATCACCGGGAGGGGAGAGGTCAGGATATATTGGGATATGTAGGTGATGCAGGCACAAAATATAGCAATAAAAATGATTTTAATAAAATGTTAGACAAATGTAATTTGTGGCTGAGGTTATTTTAATGGGGGTAATCAGGGGAGTCCCTTGACCCGCTGGAATGGGCAATTCCCATGGACCTGGGTAGTTGCTCTGGACCCTTGATAAGGAGTATGTTCTTTATATTAATGCAGCAACTACTTCTCAGTGGTTCTTGTGATTGGAGGGCTCTGTTTAATCTGACTGCCTACCAAGTTGAAGGACCCTCCCTCCTCAGCAAACTATCCATGTCCTTTCTTGGGACAGATCCTGTTTGGCTCCTTCTGTTGGAAGTCCAAAGGGTTGCTGGATTATTACATTATCTTATAAGATGTGGCTGAGGCACGCAGGACAGGGACGGTGTCTTCAGGGTTTAGACTCCTTGAGATGACCTGGCATGCCATAGGAGTTCAGGGTGCCCTCTTCTGTCTCCTGAAAGTTTGTGACAAAAGGAGCAGTAGATGGGGAGTCAGGAGAGACCCAACTCCTAATCTCAGGCTAGACACTAGTTGCCTAAGCTTGGGCAAGTCACTGAAACTTGAAACACCTCCATTTCCTTATATATTAAATGAGGGGATTTGAAATGGAGAAGCCTAGCTTCAAGGAATAAGGA